AGATCGAATTTCCGCGGTATGGTCACCAAGCCTTGCGATTACGCGTTATCAACGTATTCAACTTTCTCGGCGTCAGTCGATACGTACTTAATCTTCTTACATCGAATCGATATGTATCTAACCTTTAGTCGCTCATTACGTCGGCTTACGTCGATGACGCGTGCTACGTCCGTTACGTCCACTACGTCGTATCGATACGTACCTCATCTCCGCAACACAGTCGCCCATTACGTCGGTACGTCAACGTTGGCGACGAGGTCGCAAGATATGAACGCAGCCTAAGGTATGAAAGCAGTTTAACCAGTCGCAGTCGCATTTCACGCTGTCTTCAGGCTGCGTTCATACCTAACGACGACGACGACGTAATCGACGTAAGCGACGTAACCGACGTAACCGACGTTTTCGGCGACTAAAGACTAGATACGTATCGATCCACGTGTCGACGTAATCGACGTAACCGACGACAGAAGATTAGATACGTATCGACTGACGTCGAAAACGTCGGTTACGTCGACGACGGCAACGTCGCCAGTTACGTCGGCTCGATACGTATGCAGTCTTCGGAGGGTTGTCGCCGGTTACGTCGGTCATGTCGACGCCGGCAACGTCGTCGTTAGGTATGAACGCAGCCTCAGCTAAAGATTATGAGCGACCACCAATGACGGTGCCTAACGAAGGTGCTTAGATTTGAAGCACATTGCACAAGCATTCTGTTTTGAGCCACTTCCACTTCACTGCGGGAACTATGCAAGAAAATTCGGATATATCACCTTTGCCGGAGGGCATCATGAGGCGTGGCTGCTGACTCTTCTCACACATACGTCTCTGTGTCTCTTCCATCTCTACCCTCGCTACTTTCGCTGCCACACCTCTTGCAGTCCTCAGATAAGTACTGTACTGAGTCTCAAATTATATGGGTGGGAACAAAAGTAGTTAGTGGAGGCGACTATGTCACGTCAAGTCTGACAGGGCGATGATGCTACGTTGTGAGACGCAGTGCTTGCGACGTCTATGCAGGTCTAGTTTGCCCGTTCATGCTATTCAAGCAATTTCAAACCCATGCATCGCCACCCTTTCAGAAGTATTGGATCTTGCTTTACTCGCTTTATTGTGGGGCGAGAACAGTTCCAAGATAGGTAACTCGCTTTTCGCCAAATTTGTGAAGCCGGCTCTGTATAAGGGGATTGGTTCAATCAACACTTGAGCACCTTTTGTCTCCTAAACTTTCGGATCCTCAACACCTGCTGCATCTGCTACAATATGGAAGCTAAGTTTATGAAATGTGAGTGAGGGGAAACTTTTTTCCAGGATCGGGGATGCGACTGCCATCATTGCCGCTTTCACGTGAGAATATCAAGAGCAGCGTGAGTAAATTCCGATGTAAAGCTGTGTTTATCTATTGGTGGTCGTTGCGTAATGGAGTTGTTCAGGAGCTGATAATTCCAGTGTCATTACTAGCTTTACTAACCAACTCCATCGTTGATGGTAACGCAGTTCATGCTCGAGAAATGGCGAAGCGACAGTAAGCTGCTTTTATTAAGATCCACTCCATTCGAAAAACAACAAACATTGTTCTATTTAGTGTCTTCGAAGTTTTAAAAGCTGCAGTTAATTTTATGGGGCCTCAATAGTCAATAGTCTACACGCAGTTCTGTCTCATGACGCAACCGCGAACTAGAAGCGTCAGGCGCGTGGATTCGATGCCCTGCGAGTAGCGTATGAATCACACAAGCTTTTGCTGTAGACTAGAGATAACACCCGACGTCGACACGACGGAACCCTGACTGCGCGTGCTGGAGCCCGCTCTTTCGTTGTGATACACGGTGTTGTAGGAGCATTTCCTGAGAAAAGTGGTGACGAACGGCTGACGCAAGCGAGATTTGACCCGGAAGTGTGAACTGTGGGCGTAAGATAAGGTTTTAGGCATGTGGCAAAAGTAAGGTAGGCCGCAATAGCAACCCTTTGCTAGCTCCGAGAAATTAGAGCGCTGGTTGGACAGCAACTGAGGGCAGTCTCGGGTGACGTCCAGCAGAGCGCTGGATTCGGTCAGCGCTGCAGCTGGGTAAGGCTGCGTTTATACTTTGCGGCAGCGTAGCGTAGCGTAGCGTAGCGCTTCCAGCGTACGCCAGCGGCAGTGCCGAAGAGAGGATGCATATCGATCTAGCTTCACCAGCGTCACCAGCGGCACGCTAGCGTACGCCAGCGTTTCTCCAGCGTTTCACCAGCGTTTTGCTAGCGTTTGCAGCGGCAGGGGAGTAGAGACTATGGGAGAGCTGGAGGGTACAAAACACATCGATTGCGCGTCTCTCACTCGCCCTTAGTCTCTACAATGCACATCGCTTCTGCGTCTCCGACGGCCCCATAGTCTCTACGATGCACATTGCTTCTGCGTCCCCGACGGCACATAGTCTCTACAATGCACATCGCTTCTGCGTCTCCGACGGCCACATGGTCTCTACAATACACGTCCGTTTCGCTTCTCAACGGCGCGTACACATAGTCTCTACTCCCCTGCCGCTGCAAGCGCTAGCAAAACGCTGGTGAAACGCTGGAGAAACGCTGGCGTACGCTAGCGTACGCCAGCGTGCCGCTGGTGACGCTGGTGAAGCTAGATCGATATGCATCCCTTCTTC